GCTGTCTCTCTCTCTCCTAGAAATAAATAAAAATATAAAAAAAAAAAAAGAAATGAGGAACAGTTTGTGCCTCTTCAGAGGTAGAAGGACCCAGAGCACATCTGAAAATACTTACAAACACTGAGATAGCATTGTAATAACAAATCAAGTTAATATATTTCAGTTTCATATGACAAGATACTTAAAGCATTTTGGATCTGAAAAGTTTCAATGGGTATATAATTATAAAGTTATTTAAGATAATCTCTGAGAAAAGTGTTAAGAAATATCCAACATATTAGCTTGTCTCCATCTTAATGTATTATATGTTTGTTATTACTACTTTAGTTTAAATACTAAACTGTTCATGAATTTTTCTTCTATTTTTTGCTTTAGGAGAATTATTTTTTTAAGGTTTTTTAAAATTTATTTTTGATAGACAGAGCATGATCAGGGGAGGGGCAGAGAGAGAAGGAGACACAGAATCTGAAGCAGGAACCAGGATCTGAGCGGTCAGCACAGAGCCTGATGCGGGTCTCAAACTCCTGAACCACAAGATCAGGACCTGAGCCAGAATTGGACATTTAACCAACTGAGTCACCCAGGCACCCCTAGGAGAAATATTAAAGTTGTGATTTTCACTCTTAAAACTTAGGTTTGTTGGTTGCTGTTCTGTAGATATTAGTAAACCTTGAAATTAATATTAGAAAAAGACTACATAATTTGTTTTAAAAAGTTACCATATTATATATTAAATATTGAATTTTGGAACTCTTCATTAAGCTTTAACATATTTCACTTGCATTGCAGTGTAAGATCACTGACATATTGTTTCAAGAAAGTCAAAATTTTGATAAATGACATTTCTTGTTTTAGTAATAAGAATTTTATTCTGTTGACCTTTGATGACATTTTGACATCAGTCAAAAAGTTAGTCCATCCTGATGCACCAGGTAGTGTGCTAGACCTATAATGGAGTCATAATGATCTTTGCATTCCCAATGCTTATAATCTAGAAAGGAAGGAAAATAGAAATAACAGTTGGATACATTAACTTATTATAACTGTAGTATACAGCATGTGTATCATGGGAACCTAACATAGTCTGGGAACTTGGGGAAGGTCTCTTTGACTATAGGATCCTTTACCTAAGACCTGGAAGAGAAGCAGGAGTCAGGGCAAGAGGAAAAGAACAGCATCCTAAGCAGAAGGGGACATATGTGCAAAGGCCCTCAGGCAGTCCCCAAACACCTTCACTCTGGAGAATAGAGCCACAAGGCTGGGGAAGTAAGCAGGGCGGATTACTTGGAGTCTTATTGGGACTTTATCTAAAGAGCGATGAGGAGCTGTTGAAAGATTTTAATCAGGAATATGAAATATTGAGGTATTATAATTTCAAAACTCTGACTGCAGTATGGAGAATAGGATACAGTGAGACAAGTTAGGTACCATTCAATGAATATTGTTCCCTCTTGTCAGTCTTTGTTCGGATCAGTATTTTCAGGACATATAGTATATTTGGTATGCCTGTTAATTCATTTCTGTGAGAGGATACATTTCAAAGTCTTAGAATCTTTTGGCCTTTGTCAACAGGTTTTCTGAATGATATTGATGTATTTTTTTTCTAAATAACTTTTTTCTTTTTAATTTTGAAACTTTCTTTTTACTGCTTATGTTGTTATGGGGGAAAGGAAAAGTAAGGTAGAGAGTAGCAAAAACTAAATAATAACTCCATATCATTCATTTAGTCTTGAAATAAGCATTCATTGACCCATTTACTTTTTGCTACATACCTTTAGGCACTTTGGATACAAATTGTGAATAAGACCTAGTCTGTGTCCTCCAAAAGCTTGTAATTCAGTGGATTTTAATATTTATATACCAGTATGTTTGCAAATTGCCAACATGTAAAACCTTGTGCTATTTTCTAAATGAATAAACTCAGGCTTAGAACAAATGTGATGACTCCTATAAACCTAGTTTCTTAACATACAAAGCTCTAAATTTCTTATTAAGCTCAGCAACTTTTTTAGTTATTTTCAGTTTTCTTTCTCACTTATCTGGAAGTCTGATTATATTCATCCTTATAGAAAAGAAATCCTGAAACACATTCAGTAGGCCTTCTATGTTGAGATATCTTAGTGCTATCAGTTGAGGCCCTTTTCACTCATCTCAGAAACTATAACAAGAAGCTTAAGTTGGTTTAAAACAAATGGACATCAGTTTTTATCAACCTTTTACATAGGGCATCTGTTTTATCAACATGGATATTGCCTATATAAAATGCTTGCCAAATGATATTTTTGCATACAGATTTTTAGTTCATCCAATATTCTTTCACGCAGACATTTACTTGGGGAATCTCATCTGTGTTGTGGCATAAATACCATGTATGTGCCAAAGACTTCCAGAATTATATCTCTAGCCTTGATATCTTCACCTGAACTCAAAATTATTTGGCTGGCTAATTGGTATCTCAAATATCACATGCCTGACCCAAAAATACTGACTTCCAATCTCTGTACACCAACCCCATCATCTTCACTTCTTGGCACTGCTTGTAGCTCAGAACAAAAACTGAAGGGTCATCCTTGATTTCCTGTTCCTTTATCTCTCATGTAATCTGTCAATCCTATTTATTCCACCTCCAAAACATACCATCAGCTTCCATCTACTCTAGTAAATACTGCACCAAGTCACCATTATACTAGCCTCCTATCCAGCCTCCCCAGTGTCAGGTTTTTCATGGCACTCAAAGCAACCTTTTATGATGTAATCAGATCTTGTCATGGCTCTCCTAAAAATTCTCTCGAGGCATTTCATTGAATTAAAGCTCTTCTTCTGACTTCTTTATTTTCCTACAAGACCCTAAACCATGTGGCCCGTGAAAAATCACCCATCTGTTCTCATCCTCACAAACCTTCCCCCCACCACATTTATCATATACACATGTACATCCAGTCACTTGCAGCTCACTTCCACCTCAGGCTCTTTGTGTTAGTTAATCCATCCACCTGGACACACTTTCCCCAGGATCAGTCATCTCATTTTGAACTTTTTCGTTGATCTCAAGTTCAAGTGTCACTTCTTTCAAAAGATCTTTCCTTACCATCAACCCAGTATCACTTCCAGTCATTTCCTATCATAGCAACCTTTTTTTAAATTGTAGAATACTACAATAGCATCAACTTTTTATTTTTTGTTTTTTTGTATGCTTATTTTATGGTCTTATTCAACTCTCTATATCACTCTGTACTTAAGATATTCCCTGGAATTTAACAGTACTCCAATAAAGATTTTTTAATTGAAAAAAATCTTACTTCATTTATGTATTAACCAGTTAGGGTATTGCGACCCAGTAGCACTAGTGCATTTCCCCATTGCCACAGCCAAGTCTGTGATGTGAGTCACCGCAGGTCACAGCTCATGTCTTTTGATTTACATATTTCCATGGGCTGTAACAGTGTGTTGACAGAGGCAGTGCACATGTGAGCTTAGATTCCAAGTGTTCAAATATACTTCTGTTGTATAAAATCAAAAATCTAGAATTCCTAAGGGAAGACCTGGCATGCCATTTTATGATATGTTGTGCCCAGATTATCAGTTAGTTCAGGAATCCTAAATAACACGTATTTTTGTCTAATGATAACTTAAAGAGTGAAAAATCAAATCTACTTCTTAAGTAAATGCCATGTATTTTAGATCAACTTCTAGTACTAGAACATCACTTCTGAGAAATAAAAGGGATAGAACAAACAAAAAAAACTACAACTAAAAGTCCCTCAGCTTTTCATAAGTTTTGTGAAGTCTGGAGAAGTGTCTAATTAGTATATAAAGAATATTGAGTATGAGAAACACAAAGAAAAAGTTAATAAAATTAACATAACTAATATATATAAAAGAAAAAGTATATATGTATACATATAAAATATATATTATGTATATTATGTCTTCTGTATATAATTTTATGTATTAAGTAAGTGAGAAACTTTAAATTGATCAGTTATGGAATAACCAAATAGAAATCAATCTTTTTTTCCTCAACTTATTTTAACTCTGATATATGTATCTTAAACTGTATATTAGTCTTGATTATTAGTAAAAAATTGTTTACCAGATAAAAACTAGGTTTAGTTTATGACACACCAAGATATAATCACATTATGAAAGAATTACTTTCTGTCTGAAAATTTAATTATAGTGTCCAAAGTAAAAAATATTCCTCAGGAACTTTTCTATTTAAATTACTAATATAAATTTAAAATACCATTTTTTGGAAAGCAAAAAAATGAGGCAATTGAAAATGAAATCACATTTTCTCTCATATTTGGGGAAAAAGAGGGTGTGGGTTTTTCCAGTTGTTTTATATCACTGAAAATTTCAATGAACTTCTGAAAAATTAACCCAGATCATAAATAATTTTGCCAACTATATCCTAGAAAATAGGACTGAAGAGATACAAAAGCATCTCTTCTTTCTTTCCCCTAAGTATAAAACCAGATGATTATTAAATGTTCACATTTTTAATGATTATCTTGTATTTATTTTTGGCCTCCAAATTATATAGTCAATCAAGTTAGTATTTCAGTTCTCATCCTCTCATTTCTCTTGAGAAGTCTTTCATGAGCTTATATCAGTACTGAGAATAATGCTTTGAAGCATTTTATATTGTAGATTTCTGGGAGGAATTTAGAACAATAATATTTCTTCTAGGTCCTTCAGTAATCATTATCTTTCCAACTGACCCCTGATTGGTATGTACTGGCCTTCAGTATTTTGCATAGGTAAGTCTGCCAACCACACAAACATCAGATACTGTCTTAAGGGACTACAGACAATTTAGATAGCGTGTCTTAATTTTTTGGGGTTAATTCCTTTCTAAAAAACTGTTTCAACTTACTTTTTTCTTGAGCATATTATAATTAATGTTCTGTGTTTTACTCTCCCTTTTATATTCCTCTTTCTTTCACTTAGTTGATATCTGAATGTTTCCCTTTATTCCTTTGATCTTTTCTTCCTAGCGGCACTCTCTGGGTGAAGCTTTGCATAAATCTATCAACAATGTAAGTGAACGGCACTTACAATTTGTACACAAGGGCATGTTGCACTTTTGATTTTGCATAAATATCATCACTGCTTTAAAGCTTTAACTTACGATATAAAAAATACACTTCGGCATTCAATAAGTTATGTTTTGTATATGGGTAACAAAAACTTCTCACTTCGAGCCATTCGTTTGTGTGTGTGCATACATCTACCACATTGTATTAATAAGCAGGTTTTTATTACAAAGCCAAGCAAGATCTTACCTTTCAAACATAAAATTCATTATTTAAATTACTTTGAAAAATATTTTTGAAAACTGTTAACTACTTGACTGTCAAAACAATGGAAATAAGTGTAAATATATTTTTTTCTTTTGTTAAACTAGTTTATTTTTTGAACAAGTAGTATCAATAAACAAGTATTAGGCGTGAAGGTTCATGAGATTCAGGACACATTTTACATTTTGATGTTGTAATATTAAAATATTTAAGTGAAATGAAATAAGTCCCTTTCCTAAGAACTGCCAAAAGCTATTGTTTTTACTTAAATATGCAGAAATTAAGCTTCAAAGTAATACTCCAGTATAAACACTCATTTAAAAATTTTTCATATATAATATGAAGAGAAAAAAATGAGGATTTATTTTTACCATCCCCAACATTGTTCTTTAAAAGAACAGAGCTGACCATCTTTGAATATTTTTTTTGATATCCTAGGGCAGCGATCCACCAACTTTTACTATAAAGAGCCAGATGGGAACTACTTTTGGCCTTGTAGGCCCTGCAGTCTTTCTGGCAGCTTCTGGACTCTGTTGCTGTTGTAGGGTGAAAGTGGCCATAGACAATATGTGAACGAATCTGCGTGGCCATGTTCTAGTAAAACTTAATTTACAACAGGCTGCAGTTTGCCAACTCCTGTCCTAGAAGACTCAAAGCTTGAGTCTAGATGTCCTGTAACAATTTGGTACTTCTGGAGTGATACTATTTCCTCATACCTTCCTAAATTCTTTCTACTATGTAAGAAGAGACAGCTTTGTCTACCTTTAAAATTAAACTTTTATGGCTCATGATCTGAGCCATAGTCAGACACTTAACCGAGTGAACTACTCAAGTGCCCCTAAAAAATGTATTTAAAAATAAGCAACAAATATATTTATCCCAATGTTGGCGAAATAAGGCTACAATTAGCAATTCACATATAACATAGTAAGGATTTGGGCATGATCACTATATTAATCCAGACTTTTTGACAAATGTACTGATTGGGATAGGAATATGAACCCAAATAAGGTAAGATTATTGTCAGAATTAATTGTACTTCAGAATACTTGTGACAACATACTCACCTTTACTTAAATAGTTATAAATGAAAAAACAAGCTTAAATTGAAGTTAAATTTAGTAGTAACTAGAATGAGAATGTCTTGATTCATCCACAGAAAAGGAGTTGGTGACACAGTGAAATCCCCATTAATTAATTCCTTTTGGTAACATCAGTCATTAAGGATCAACTCTTCTAAGCTGTCCTCATCCAAACAAAGATGACCCTGTCAGTGTTGTTCAGCAGCTTGAGCAACTATCCACCCCCTACACATTCTTGCCTGGCCTTCCATGCCAGAGGTTGTCTGCTATATACTGTCTTGTTCTAAAAGATAAGTGGTTATTGAGACCTTTGTCCTTTATTAAAAGCTTTCTAATTTCTTTCAACTAAGAATGAAAGGGTGATTGGGAACATATTACAGAAATATCTTAAGGACATTAAGTAGGCATTTTTGTGGTTCTTAATTCATAAATTCCATTTAAAGATTTTCTTGGAAAAATACCAAGAAATTATGAACAATTCAGAATTTTCTCAGAATAACAACTTTGAGAAATTTTCCTAAGCTTAAATTTACTTTTTTAGCTAGACTCTTCAAAAATAGCAAGTTAGTAGTTAAAAACAACAAAAAAAACAAAGGGATGAAAATATTCAGGGACCTTCAAACATTTTACATGAACATTTATATAAGTCGTTGATATACTAATAAGTTTTCCTTACTGTCCTCTAAGCCTGTGTTAGCAGTTTTTAATGTTGCCTTATATATTTGAAAGTACTGAACTGATATCATGTGTTTTAGACTTTCCTTATAATTTGTGTTGACTTTTCTTGTCAAAATTGTTAAGTATTTTGGCCTAACATAATTCCATGTCCTGTGTTGACATCCTGTCATATCCAGTACTTCAGATTTGATTCATTTTCTATTTTGAGGGTGTTTTCTCATACACCATTGTGAAGGTACAGAATCCTTATGAAATTCCCTCTAGGAAATAGATAAAGCTTTCCTTTGTCCAGAAAAATGTATCCATATGCTTTTAATTTTAGTCTTTTTGAAAATTTTACAACACTTTATTCTTGAAAACATATTAGTATTTTAAGTTTTTTAATTGCCATCTGAGGGTGGCAATTACTATTGTCCTTTAAAATTGTTTGCAAAGTATCTCATAGCTATTGATGAATAGAATATGGTATATAATTCATATCCAACTCCTGTGGTAAGAATTTTTTAAATGACTAACGTTCTTTCCTGAATTAAGGATTCTTTTGGTTTATTTAAAACCAACAAAGCAAAAAACATTATCATTTAGAATTATAACAGATATAAATAAACTAATACCATATAACTAAATACTTTATATAATTTGAACAACCATTCTCATTCATTTATTCAACAAATGGCTTTCTATAATTCTGTGATAAAAGTACTGATAAGGATTGCCTGTACTATTTGGTGCAAACTCTTTGTTCTCTTTTATTTGAATTAATGAAGTTTTATGTTAATAGGTATTTCCATAAAGTATACTAAACTGTTTAAATTATAGGTCTACATAAAACATTAGTTCATTTTACATTGCTTTGCTCATTATTTGTGTTTTAAAGTGCCATGTAATTTTCACATTGAATAAAGGCTGATTATTTAATGCAATGCTACTAACTTATTTATAAAATGAGCAAAATAAGTTTTGATGCTGCATTGCATGAGAAAGGCTTTCTGCATATAATTCATCTTATGGTATTGAGCATGAATCTAGAGATTTTAGATAGCCTTAATATTATTTTGGTGTGCTTTTAGAGTTAAGAATACAGAATATCTAAGTATATTTGAATACTAAATTGCATGATAATGTCTTTTTGCATATACTTTTTATTTTATTGAATATAGTTGCAAAGATTAATCTTATATCCCAAAATGAAAAATAATACTTTGGACTTTTTTTAAGGTATACTTTATGATATAAAATATTTTAATGTATTTTATTTAAGCTAGAGAAGTTCGATTTTATTTTTTAATTTTTATTTTTTATAATTTTTAAAAGTTTATTTATTTATTTTTGAGAGAGAGAGGGAATGACAGAATTCCAAGCAGGCTCTGAGCAGCACAAAACCCAACATGGGGCTCAAACTCAGGAACTGTGAGATCATGATCTGAACTGGAATCAGGAGTCAGATGCTTAACTGACAGAGCCACCCAGGTGCCACAAAAGTGTCCTTAGATTTTAAACATGTTATTGTTCTATTACTGTGGTTTCTCATTTTAGATATTCTATTTCTTCATAAGTTTCACCCTTAAATAGTTAAAATATGAGTCAATTGTCAAATTAACATATGGGAGAGCTCTTTTTGATGCAGTGAAGTTTTGATGTGGGTACTGAAGAAAATAAGATACACTACTATGAACTGATTGGCTTCTTACTAAGTGCACACTTAATTAAAGGACTGGACCCAGAGCTACCACTAGTACATACGGTACCTGTGTGCAAGTTGGAAAAATATACCCCTTTTCTTTGAGTATATGCGGGTGCATACCAGGGCAGATACCTTAGTGAGCAGTTTGTTCACTGGTCTTTACTTGGCCAGGGGCCAATTAATAGCTTTGACAATATCAATCATTATTCTAAATGTACTATAGTCTTTTCCTAACATTCCCATATATGCTTTAACAAGTTATCACCAGAGGCAAGGGTGTCACAGGGGTCCCCATGTTGGATCTGAGACAAGGGTTGAACTTGGGAAGAGAGTTGGCAGGACGGTACCTTTTCTATTTCAAGAGCCAGCTAGCTGGGGAAGAAAAATGACTATCAGTTACACATTAGTGTTCATAAACAACACATTTTTGTTGCCTTTGCCCTTTTGTAATGTACTTTTTCTATCTGGGTTGTCTTCAATATTCCTTTCATCCTGATTTTCTTTGCATAAAACAGTGAGAAGTTACATAGTATAATTTGTGTTAGTCTTCCTACTCTACAAGCATGGCCTTAGCTGCTGTTGTAACATTCTCCTTATTTTTCCTTCTTATTTTTTGCATCTCTGGTGATTCTCCACTCTTTTTCTTTCCCAGGTCCCTTTTTCCTTTGTGAGACATGTGAGGCATCCTATACCTGCCTTTCATCAATCAAAAGAAAATAATGTCCCATTTACAAAACCCACTTTACAGTTTCCTCTCCCTTAGCCTTCTTGGCCACAGAAACTGTTTTTACTTGTATAGAAACACATATAGCATCTTAAAGTACTTAATGGAACACATTTGACAACTTTTTATCTGGTTCTCCTATGTTCCTCTTAGCTTCAGACTACTACTATTACTGTGGTTATCTAGTTCCATTTTCCTGTGTATGAGCAGAGAATAAAGGTCAAATTAAATGGTTATATAAAACATACAAATACACACACATTTTGTGCTTTTATTCTTTAAAAGGCACTTAATTTTAAGTGTTTTAAAATACTCAGAAACAATGCAGACATATTAAGAGTAATGTCTGTTTCAAAAGGAGTGACAAATCAGTTTTCCATAAGTAAAGAAAAATACCTGTCACTGTGAGGATATAAATAGAGGACCATGGGATGTTTGTGGTTTTAAAAAGCTTGAAGGTTACAAATCCTTTGAATTAAATCAAAATTCAAAAGTGAAAATTCTTTCTTTTAACATAAGGATTCTAAACTATAAATGGAAAAGCCTTTTTTACAGTGTAATTTTTTTAAATCCTCAAAGAATCTTAGTTAACATTTGTTGAGCACTTATTACATGCCAGGGGCTGTTCTAAGTGAACTATGTGTAATAACACACTTCAGCTCACATGGCCTGGTGAACCATTGATCTAGTAAGTGGCAGAGCTAGGATTTTAACTCAGAGCCCACACTCTTAACTACTCAACTCTACCACTTCACAAATAAGCAATTTAACTATACTATCTCCATGAAGGACCATAACCTAATGAATACGTTAACATTAGTTGTCCTGTTTTTATTTCATATCATGAATTTTATTGCAGTATAACATAGGTGTTCACTGTGTTTCTAAATGTGGGGTGTTCTTTAGAGAGTCCACAGTCCTAATACCAATAAAACTGTCTATTTATAGAATAACTATTAAAAATAGAATTGCAAGTGGTCTGCAAATCAGTGTAATACTTAGTTAAGGCAACTATTTTACTTTAGTTAATATCTTTGAAATGCTTTTTTCCCTTCAATTGGAAATTTGTGAAATATGCCTTGTATTTATTCTTCATTGTGTACCATTCTGTGGTGTAGATTTCCTTGCTGAAACAGAACCTGGAGATGCAGCTTTCCCAGTCTCAGACTTCTTTGCAGCAGCTGCAAGCCCAGTTCACACAAGAACGACAACGACTTACACAAGAGCTTGAAGAATTAGAGGAACAACATCAACAGAGACATAAATCTTTAAAAGAAGCACATGTCCTTGCATTTCAAACTATGGAAGAAGAAAAGGAAAAGGAACAAAGAGTAAGTTTAATGTGATATATGTTCAGAGGTTATCCAACAGCCTAATAATTATCAGCCTTCATGTTCTTAAGAATTCATTTTTTGCCTCCAAAAAATAATATATTGCTTTATTTCATTGTGTTTTCTAGAATTTTTCTCGTGGAGGTCAAAAATGATTAAGTATACACACTAGTTACACAAACTAGACTAGGGCCAACATTTTATTTCTGTTTCCCAACATAATGCCAAATTCATGATAAGACCAATACACCATCTCATGTGTCATATAATTGATGATGGTTAAATAAATTTAGCATGGTCCTGCTGAGCTGTAACCACTGTAATCACTTAATACTATTTTGAACTTACAATTGCCTTTCATCAGATTTTTCACTTTTCTCTCTCAGGTTGGATCTACAAAAGGCACATGCATCTAAGGAATTTATAGTTTTTATCCCACATTTTTGTCCTCACATTACCTCCCCTCCTATGAAAAATTCACAATGAAATGAAATTGGAGACTTTAAAATATTATAATTCCCTGTATACGTCCCCAAAGGCTATGTGAATAAGTAGTGATACAGAAATATCATGCAAAAGATCAAATAGATATATTATCCTTCTCCGTAAAACACTAGTTTGACATGTCATAGTGTGATTAATTTTGGTTCAGTTCATTTCTTAATGCTGCATTTTTCATTTTCTTGTAAGGACTTTATAATTAAGATAAAATATTTCATTGAAAATGCAATTTTACTAACAATAAGATGTTTTTAATCCTTTATTTGGCTGCAGGCAACTATTTTATGAATTAGTAGGCTATAAAGAAATTTTTAAAACAAAGTCACATTCCATTAAAAACAATTGACTAGCCTATCCAATAAGCTATAGTCTAAAAAGTCTGGACAGTTAAGGAAATTTCTTTGGTTAAAAATTGGGCCTTATTTCCATTACCCATGATGAATATAGATGTAAAACTGAACACAAAATATTAGCAAACCACATTTAAAAATACATTTAGAAAAATCCATACATCATGATCACATGGGATTTATTTCAGGATACAAGAATGGTTCAATATCTGCAAATCAGTGTAATTTACTACATTAATAAATGAAGGATAAAAATCACATGATGATCTTAATAGACGCAAGGAAAAGCATTTGACAAAATTCAACATTTATTTATGATAAAAACTCCTGATGAAGTGGGTATAAATGGAATATGCCCTAATAAAAGCTATATGTGACAAAAACAAAGCTAATATCATACTTAACAAAGAAAAACTGAAAGCTTTTCCTCTAAGACCAGGAACAAGGCATAGAAGACCCTTTCACCACTTTTATTAAACATAGTATTCAAAGTCCTAGCCACAGCAATCAGATAAGAAAAAGAAATAAAAGCATCCAGATTGATAAGGAAGAAGTAAAACTATCACTATTTGTAGAGAACATACTATACATTGAAAATCCTAAAGACTCCACCAAAAAACTATTAGAATAAATGAATTCAGTAAAGTTGCAGTATACAAAATTAATATACAGAACCTGTTGCATACATAAATCTGTTGGATACCTATACAGTAATAACAAACTATCAGAGAAATTAAGAAAACATCCCATTTACAATTGCATCAAAAGAGTAAAATACCTAGGAATAAATTTAACCAAGAAAGTGAGACTTGTACTCTGAAAACTATGATATGGGTGAAAGAAATCAAAGATGACACAAATAAGTGGAAACATATGTCATGCTCATGGATTGGAAGACTTAATATTGCCAAAATTCCATGCCACCCAAGCAATCTCCAGCTTCAGTGCAGTCACTATTGAAATTGCAATAGCATTCTAAGAGACTCTTTTGAGACCTAGAAACCCCTGAAGGTTGAAAGTGATGGAGAAACATTTATCATGCAAATGGATGTCAGAAGAAAGCTGGAGTCGCAGTACTTACATCAGACAAAACTGACTTTAAAACAAAGACTAACAAGAGACAAAGAAGGATACTTACATAATAATAAAGGCGACAGTCCAACAAGAAGATATGACTATTGTAAATATTTATGCAACCAACACAGGAACACCCAAATACATAAAATAAGTTAATAGCAAGCATTAGGGAACTAATTGATAATAGAACAATAATAGTAGGGAACATTAACACTGCACTTACATCAAAGGACAAATCCTCTAAACAGAAAATCAACAAGGAAACAATGGCTTTGAATGACACATTGGACAGGAGAGATTTAACACATATATTTAGAACATGCCATCCTAAAACATCAAACCATGAGAGACTCTTGAATGCTGACAAAAACTGAGGACTGATGGATGTGGGGGGGAGGGGGGATGGGCTTGGAGGAGGGCACTTGTGGGGATGAGCACTGGGTGTTATGTGGAAACTAATTTGACAATAAACTATTTGTAAAAAAAAAAAAAAAAAAATGCCATCCTAAAACAGCAGAATACACACTCTTTTCAAGTGCACAAGAAACATTCTCCAGAATAGGTCACATATTAAGCCACAAAACAAGCCTCAAAAAATATAAAAAGCAGAAGTCATACCATGCACCTTTTCTAGAAGTCAGCCACTAGAAAAAGATCTGGAAAGACCACAAACACATGGAGGTTAAATAACTGTTACTAAACAATGAATGGGTCAATCAGGAAATAAAAGAAGAAATTTAAAAGTACATGGAAGCAAAACAAAAACAACAGTTCAAAATGTTTCTGATGCAGCAAAGTGGCTCTAAGAGGGAAGTTTATAGCAATACAGGTCTACCTCAAGAATCAAGAGAAGTCTCAAATAAGCAGTTTAACCTTACAACCAAAGGAACTAGAAAAAGAACAAAATCAAAACGATGAGAAGGAAGGAAATAATAAAGATTAGAGCAGAAATAAATGATATAAAAATAGATCACTGATACTAGGAGGTGGTTCTTTGAAAAAAAAATCATCAAAATTGATGAACCTCTAGCCAGACTTAGGAAGAAAAAAAAGACAAAAGAACCAAATAAATAAAACCAGAAATGAGAGGGGAGAAATAATCAACACGACAGAAATATGAACAACTATAAGAGATTATGAAAAACTATATATCAATAAATTGAGAAACCTAGAAAAAAATGGATAAATTCCTAGAAACATGTAATCTACCAAAACTGAAACAGGAAGAAATAAAGAAATTTGAACAGGCTGATAGCCAACAAAGAAATTGCATCAGTAATCAAACTCCCAACAAACAAAAGTCCAGGATCAGATGGCTTCACAGGTGAAATCTACCAAACATTTAAAGAGTTAATACCTACCTTTCCCAAAATACTGCAAAAAATAGAAAGAAAACTGCCAAATTCATTCTGTGGTGCCAGCATTATCCGGAAACCAAAACCAGACAAAGACACCACTAAAAAAGACACCAACAGGGCAGTATCTCTGATGAACACAGATGAAAAAATCCTCAACAAAATACTAACAAACTGAATCCAACAATACAGTAAAAAAAAAAAAAAAAAAAAAATCATCTCCTGGTCAAGTGAGATTTATTCCTTAGTTGCAAGGGTTCGATATTCAACTAGCATGATACATCATATCAATAAGAGAAAAGAACCATACAATCATTTCAATAGATGCAGGAAAAGTATCTGACAAAGTACAACATTGATTCATAATAAAAATTTTCAACAAAGTTGGTTTAGAGGAACATACCTCAAGATAATATTGGTGAAAAACCCATAGCTAACATCACCCCAAATGGGGAAAAACAGAACCTTTCCTATAAGGTCAGGAACAAGACCATGATGTCTACTCTCACCACTTTTATTCAACATAGTACTGGAAGTCCTAGACACAACAATCAGATAACATAAAGAAATAAAAGACATCCATATTGGTAAGGAAGAAGTAAAACTTTCACCCTTTGCAGATGGTATGATATGGTATATATGATACTATACAGAGAAAACCTGAAAGGCTCCACAGAACATGTTACAGATTATGGTAAGAAAACCCTTCCTGTCCCAGTTCAGTCTGTGTACTTGAAGGACACTGAGCTCTGGTTTTCTCCCATGGCCACATGTCTTCTCTCAGTTTCAGCCACATATATGTAGTCTGTTTTCTCTGGTTAGGCTTTTAGAACTAATCAAGTGAGAGGTTTGTTTACTTTTCTACTTCCCTACTCTCACAGCTTTGCTTCTGTCCACAAATTTCTATAAAAAAGTCACTACAAAATATTTGATAAGGTTGGAGTTGTAAAAGCCTTTTGGCATCTCTCTGTTCCTACTCAAGATCTTTTCTTGTTAATGCCCTCCTCCTCTCTTCCTAAGTTTGTGCACATTCCTTCATTTAGGTGGCTTACAGAAAATGACTTTAGTTGAAAACTACCTTAGTTAAAGGCCCAGATCCCAATTCAAACGTAATACATTGGATCAAACTGGTTTCTTAAGAATTGTTCTACTGAAGTGACCCTATTATTTTCTAATGGTCATTATCTTATATCTAATGTTCTTGAAGATGAATAAAAATGCCTTGTTTTTCTTAAATAACTGGGTTTTAGTAATGTATTAATTTATTTTGCCCCCAATAATTTTTTATTTTGCTTTCATTTTCTTTCCTGTGTTCTAACATAATGAAGCAAATACATTTCTCCTGTTTTAGGCTCTTGAAAATCATTTACAACAAAAACATTCTGCAGAGCTTCAGTCATTAAAAGATGCACACAGAGAGTCAATGGAGGGCTTCCGGATAGAAATGGAACAGGAACTTCAGACTCTTCGGTTTGAATTAGAAGATGAAGGAAAGGCTATGCTTGGTATTTTGTTTTGTTTTTTTTTTTTTTTTTTTTTTTTTTTATGCTTGTTTTTTTTTTGTTTTTTTTTTTTTTTTTTTTTTTTTTTTTTTTTTTTTTTTATGCTTGGTATTTTGAAAATATTATAATCTTGTCATATTTATTTGTATGTTCTTTAAAATTCAATATGAAATCACAAAGTTTTAATTTTTGACACACCAAAATGAGTATCTGAGTGTTTTGCATATTTGAAGTTACCAGATGAAGAGGTGAGTATGGAGGAGTAGAATGGATAGAACACAGAAGTGAGGTCCCCTCAACTTTCTCCATACTCTGGCTATGTACGCAACACTCACTGGGGCTTCCACCTACCGTTAAGAAACTAAGTGGAGTTCTACTTTCCAGTAACTAAAAAGAGTAGATAGGCATACAGCCACATGTCCTTAGACTTGATAGTCATGTGTTTTTTTTTAAATAGTTTATTGTCAAGTTGGTTTCCATATAACACCCAGTGCTCATCCCGGCAAGTGCCCTCCTCCATGCCCATCACCTCCCTTCCCCTATCCTCTATCCACATCAGTGCTCAGTTTGTTCCTTGCTTTCAGAAGTCTCTCATGGTTTGCCTCCCTCCCTCTCCCCAACTATTTTTCCCCTTCTTCTCCCCCATGGTTCTCCATTAAGTTCTTCTTAATCCACCTATATGTGCAGACATATGATGTCTGCCTGACTTATTTCGCTCAGCACAACACCCTCAAGTTCCATCCATGTTGCTGCACTTGGCCGGATTTCATTTTTTCTCATTGCCATGTAGTATTCCATTGTATAGATAAACCACATCTTCTTGATCCATTCGTCCGTTGATGGACACTTAGGCTCTTTCCATGTTTGGGCTGTTGTGGAGAGTGCTGCTATGAACATTGGGGTCCATGTGCCCCTATGCATCAGCACTCCTGTATCCCTTGGGTAAATTCCTAGCAGTGCTACTGCTGGGTCATAGGGGAGTTCAATTGTTAATTTTTTGAGGAACCTCCACACTGTTTTCCAGAGGGGCTGCACCAGTTTGCATTCCCACCAACAGTGTAAGAGGGTTCCCGTTTCTCCACATCCTTGCCAGCATCTAGAGTCTCCTGATTTGTTCATTTTAGCCACTCTGACTGGCGTGAGGTGGTATCTCAGTGTGGTTTTGATTTGTATTTCCCTGGTGAGGAGGGACGCTGAGCATCGTTTCATGTGTCTGTTGGCCATCTGGATGTCCTCTTTGAAGAAGTGTCTGTTCATGTCTTCTGCCCATTTCTTCACTAGATTATTTGTTTTTCGGGTGTGGACTTTGATGAATTCCTTATAGATTTGGATACTAGCCCTTTATCTGATATGTCATTTGCAACTATCTTTTCCCATTCTGTCAGTTGCCTATTTTATTGATTGTTTCCTTTGCCATGCAGAAGCATTTAATGAGATCCAATAGTTCATTTTTGCTCTTGATTCCCTTGCCTTTGGGGATGTGTTGAATAAGAAATTGCTGCAGTTGAGGTCAAGGAGGTTGTTTCCTGCTTTCTCCTCTAGGGTTTTGATGGTTTCCTGTCTTACATTCAGGTCCTTCATCCATTTTGAGTTTATTTTTGTGTATGGTGTGAGAAANTCTTTCCCACTTTGTCAAAGATTAGTTGGCCATACATTTGTGGGTCCAATTCTGAGTTCTCTATTCTATTCCATTGGTCTGTGTGTCTGTTTTTGTGCCAATACCATACTGTCTTGATGGTTACACCTTTATAGTAGAGGCTAAAGTCTGGGATTGTGATGCCTCCTGTTTTGGTTTTCTTCTTCAATATTACTTTGGCTATTCAGGGTCTTTTGTGGTTCCATACAAATTTTAGGATAGTTTGTTATAGCTCTGAGAAGAATGCGGATGCAATTTTGATAGGGATTGCATTGAATGTGTAGATTGCTTTGGGTAGTAATGACATTTTAACTATATTTATTCTTCTGATCCATGAACATGGAATATTTTTCCATTTCTTTGTGTCTTCTTCAATTTCTTTCATAAGTTTTCTATAGTTTTCATCATACAGATCTCTTATGTCTTTGGCTAGGTTTATTCCTAGGTATTTTATGTTTTTTTGTACAATTGTGAATACGATCGGTTTCTTGATTTCTCTTTCTGTTGCTTCATTACTGGTGTATAAAAATGAAACTGATTTCTGTATGTTGATTTTGTACCCTGAAATTTTGCTGAGTTCATGGATCAGTTCTAGCACACTTTTGGTGGAGTCTGTTGGGTTTTCTATGTAGAGTATCATGTCATCTGTGAAAAGTGAAAAGTTTGACTTCTTTGCCAGTTCTGATGCCTTTGATTTCCTTTTGTAGCCTGATGGCTGATGCTAGGACTTCCAGCACTATGTTAAACAACAGTGGTGAGAGTGGACATCCCTGTCATGTTCCTGATGATTTCAGGAGGAAAGCTTTTTTTCCCCACTGAGGATGATGTTAGCTGAGGGCTCTCATAGATGGCTTTTATGTTTAAGTAAGTTCTTTCTATCCCGACTTTCTCGAGGGTCTTTATTAAGAAGGTCTGCTGTATTTTGTCAAATGCTTTTTCTGCATCTATCGACAGGATCATATGGTTTTTATCTTTTCTTTTGTTAATGTGATATATCACATTGATTGATTTGCGAATATTGAACCAGCCCTGGAACCTAGGAATGAATCCCACTTGATCATGGTGGATAAGTCTTTTTATATGCTGTTGAATTCGATTTGCAGTTATCTTGTTGAGGATTTTTGCATCCATATTCATCAAGGATATTGGCCTGTAGTTCTCTTCTTCTGCTGGGTCTCTGTCTGGCTTGGGAATCAAAGTGATGCTGACTTTGTAGAATGAGTCCAGAAGTTATCCTTTGATTTGTATTTTTTTGGAATAGCTTGAAAAGAATGGGTATTAACTCTGTTTTAAATGTCTGGTAGAATTCCCCAGGGAAGTCTTCTGGCCCAGGGCTCTTACTTGTTGGGAGATTTTTGATAACTGATTCAATTTCTTCACTAGTTATCAGTCTGTTCAAATTTTGTCTCTTCCCATGTGAGTTTTGGTAGTGAGTGTGTGTTTAGGAATTTGTCCATTTCTTCTCAGTTGTCCAGTTTGTTGGCATATAATTTTTCATAGTATTCCCTGATAATTGCTTATATTTCAGAGGGACTGGTTGTAATAAGTCCATTTTTATTCATGATTTTGTCTATTTGAGTGCTCACTCTCTCTTTTTTTTTTTCTTTTTTTTTTTTTGAGAAGCCTGCTAGAGGTTTGTTAATTTTGTTTACTTTTTCAAAAAACCAACTCTTGGTTTCATTGATCTGTTCTACTGTTTTTTTGGTTTCTATGTTGTTTATTTTTACCCTGATTTTTATTTTTTCTCTTCTCCTACTGGGTTTGGGGTGCTCTTGTTGCTCTCCTCCTAGTTCCTTGAGGTGTGCTGTTAGATTTTGTACTTGCGCTTTTTCTAATTTCTTGTAATAGGCCTGGAGAGCAATGTACTTTCCTCTTAGGACTGCCTTTGCCGCCTCCCATAGTGTTCGGATTGTTGTATTTTCATTTTCATTTGTTTCCATATATTTTTAAATTTCTTCTCTGATTGTCTGATTGGCCCATTTGTTCTTTAGTAGGGTGTTCATTAACCTCCATGTTTTTGGAGGTTTTCCACACTTCTTCCTGTGATTGATGTCAAGTTTCATAGCATTATGATCTGAAAGTGTGCACGATATGATCTCACTTCTTTTAAGTTTATTGAGGGCTGCTTTATGTCCCAGTATGTGGACATATGACCCAGTATGTGATCTATCTTGGAGAATGTGCCATGTGCACTTGAGAAGAAAGTGAATTCTATGGCCTCAGGATGTAGAGCTCTAAATATATCTGTCAGATCCATCTGGTCCAATGTGTCATTCAAGTCCATTGTTTCTTTAGTGACTTTCTGTCCAGTTGATCTATCCATTGCTGTAGTGGAGTATTAAAGACCCCTGCTATGAGCACATTCTTACCCATAAGATTGTTTCTGTTTGTGATGAATTGTTTTATGTATTTGGTGCTCCTGTATTGTGTGTAGACATTTATAATTGTTAGCTCTTCCTGATGGATAGAACCTGTAATTATTATATAATGCACTTCTTTATCCCTTGTTACTGCCTTTACTTTAAAGTTCAGTTTGTCTGGTATAAGTATAGCTACTCCAGCTTTCTTTTGACTTCCAGTAGCATGATAGATATTTCTCCATCCCCTTACTTCAACCTGAAGGTGTCCTTCAGTCTAAAATGAATTTCTTATAGACAGCAAATAGATGGATTTTGGTTTTTTTAATTCATTCTACTACCCTATGTCTTTTGATTGGAGCATTTAGTCCATTTACATTCAGTGTTGTTATTGAAGTATATGGGCTTAGAGTCATTGTGTTCTTTGTAGGATTCATGCTTGTGGTGTCTGGTACCTTGCATTCCTTGCAACATTTCCTTCATAGAATCCCCCTCAGGATTTCTTGTAGGGCTGGTTTACTGGCGATGAATTCTTTCAGTTTTTGTTTATTTGGAAAGACTTTTATCTCTCCTTCTATTCTGAATGACAGGCTTCCTGAATAGAGGATTATTGGCTGCATATTTTTTCTGTTCATCACATTGAAGATTTCCTGCCATTCCTTTCTGGCCTGCCAAGTTTCAGTAGATAGGTCTGTCACCACTCTGATAGGTTTCCCTTTGTATGTTAGGTCCTTTTTATCCCTAGCTGCTTTCAGAATTCTCTCTTTGTCCTTATATATTGCCAGTTTCACTATGATATGTCATGCAGAAGATCGAATCATGTTACATCTGAGGGGAGTTCTCTGTCCCTCTTGGATTTCAGTGTCTGTTTCCTTCCCCATATTGGGGAAGTTCTCTGCTATAATTTGCTCAAGGACTCCTTCAGTGCCTTTCCCTCTCTCTTCCTCTTCTGGAATTCCTATGATATGGATATTGCTCTGTTTGATTATATAGCTCAGCTGTTGAACTCTCCTTTCATGTTCCTGGATCAGTTTATCTCTCTTTTTCTTGGCTTCCTCTTTTTCTATAATTGTGTCTTCTAACTCACCTATTCTCCTCTCTGCCTCTTCAATCTGAGCATTGGACACCTCCATTTTATTATGCATCTCATTTGTAGCATTTTTTAATTCATCTCAACTATTTGTAAGCTCCATAGCCTTTGTAGCAATAGTTTCTCTGAGGTCTTCCATGCCTTTTTCAAGCCCAGCGATTAATTTTATGACTGTTCTAAATTCTTGTTCAGTTATGTCGCTTATATCTGTTTTGAGCAGTTCTTTAGCTGTCATTTCTTCCTGGAATTTCTTTAGAGGAGAGTTCTTCCATTTTGTCATTTTGGTTAGCTTTCTGTCTCTTGCTAGTTTTAAAAGCTTGTTATACACTCTGCACCTGCGAGTACTGCTGTATTAAAGAAGACTCTTTGACTGTCCAAGGCCTGTCCATTCAGGAAGTGTTCTTTGGTGTCTCTTGGTCTCTCTTGTTGAGACTTTGGTTATTATATTTTCCTACTCATAGTGGTATTTGGGACTCGCTACCATGTGTACTTTGGCTTGTTTCTTGAGGTCACCGCTTTAAGGCTTTCTCAGCTGACTCTCCTTTTCCTCCCAAACTCCTGGATTCTGTAAAGGGTCATATAGCTTCAGGCCCTCTCCGTTTGAGAGATGGGGACGAGTGAAAGTACAGAGCTCCCTACTTCTCCGCCATCTTGCTTCTGTTTTCTGTGGGGTTTTTTTTTTTTTTTTTTGTATGAATTCAAAACAATCACTTCAGGATTGTGTTTGTATGAGAAAACTCCTGTTTAGGTCAGACATTTTGTTTAGGTATTTTTCAAATATTTTTTATTGGGATTTTAATCTTTGAAGTGTTCAAGTCACTACTCTTCTTATGAAGAGATCAGTTGAGTTTTGCAGAGATACTGCAAAAGTATTTAAAGAGGTTTTTTGGAGGGAGGGGTGGAGTTTGGTGGTGATCCTTAACTTTATTCCTATCATCTCATTTTCCTTCTGTTTGGTTTTCCCCAAAATGTCTTAATAGTTTGTATTGTATGGTGTCGCATATCAGTGGCATATGGTTTCCAAGTAGTAATTGGGAACAAAGAAGACCAAAGTGTTGTCACTACTTTGGGCCTCAATGGCAAAGCCATTTTACCCAATACATCATCTCTCCTGTTGCTGGGAGCCCTAAGTCAGGTCATCATAATTCTCTCCTCTTCCTCTGTGACAAGCCACTGTGATAGCCAGGGTGAAAATCATAGTAGAATATTTATCAAACATATGTGGAATACATGTTTACATGCTACAGAAACTGCTGAGCAAAGAGAATTAAAAAGTGAACTGCTGCTTGGTCTTTATATACAAAGAGCATATAGTCCAATGCAGAGGTAGCCTTTGGAGAATTCTGGCCCAAGGGAATTACAGACTTTCCACAACTGTATGAGAAAAAGTAAAATCAGGCCAAGTGTTAGCACTATTGTTTAGTCCACTGAAACTTGATTAAATACCTCTTTGTTGACAAAAGGATTTTTGTGATTTTTAATTAAACTTTTTTATTTTAATTAAACTTTATACCTATTTTGAGATAGTTATAAATTCATATGCGCTTGTAAGAAGTAATACAGAGAGATCCTCTGAACACTTTATACAGTTTCCTCCCGTGGTAACATCTTTCAAAACTGTAGTTCATATCACAACCAGGATACTGACATTGATACTGTCAAGACACAGAACACTCCCATTACCATGAGAAGCCGTGTTGCCCATTTATAGCTACACCTACTTCCCTTTCCTCCCCACCTTTAATTCCTGGTTACCATTAATCTGTTATCCATTTCTATAATTTTATCATTTTAAAAATGTTATAAGTGGAATAATATGTCACCTTTTGGGGGATTGGTTTTTTTTTTTCCACTCAGCATAATTCTCTGGAGATTCATCCAGGTTGTTGTATATATCAATAGTTTGTCCCTTTTTATTGCTGAAGGACAATTGTTGTCTTTTACCCATTGAAGGACATCTGGTGTTTTCAGTTTGTGTAAGTGTAAGCTTTAATTTCTCTGAGATAAATGCCTAAGAGTAGAGTTGCTGGGTCATATGATGATTGTAGAAACTGCCTGTTTTCCAGAGTGGCTGTACCTTTTCATATCCTCACCAGCAGTGAATGAGTGACAGTTTCTTTCACATCCTTACCAGCATTTGATGTCACTGTTCTGTATTTTACGCATTCAGATAGGAGCGTGGTATTATCTTGTTGTGAATTTTACTTTGCATTTCTCTAATGGCTACTTATATTGAACATGTTTTCAAGTATTTATTTGACATCTGTATATCTTTTCTAACTGGATTGTTAGTATTTTTACCGTTGAGTTTTAGGAGTTCTTCATGTATTCTAGATCTAGTCCTTTGTCAGGTTCCTTCAGGTCTACATTTTTGCCCCCATTATACTATTGAAATTACTGTCCCTGAAGTCACCATTGAACTTTGAAATTCCAAATCCATATATTCTCACTGGTTTTCATCATATTTGCCCTGTCTGCATCATTTGACCTCTTTGACCTTCTTGAATCTTTTTTTCCCATTGGTCTCCATGATCATATACTCCCCACACTGCATTCTGACCCCTGTTTTTTAAACATCTTCATTTGCTAGTTCTGTTTTCCATGCATCTGTTAAATATTGCTGTTTCTCCATCTTTAGTCCCCAGCCTTCTGGGTCTGTTTTTCAGTCTTCAGGCTTTTCCTGATTGGTGGGATTCACAGCTATGGCTCCAGTTACCATCTGTTGTGCTGGAGACTCCAAATATGTGTTTCTAGACCAAACTGCTTTCCTTGTGAACTAGATTTCTATTTCTTACTGCATATTATAAAGTTAGATATTGTAACTTATACTCTATATTTTTAAATACTAGCTCACCATCTCTCTCAGGTCCAAAGTATATTGCCATTCCTATACCTGGCATTTTAACTAAGGGTGCCACTGTTTACCCAGCTGCCCCAGCTAGGAAGCTAGGAGAACTTCTGCTTCCACATCCTGTTAGTTCCTCCACTTTTCATAGTCATATCATTTTTCACCTGGGTTATTGCCATAACCTTCTCACTGATCTTTGTTCCTGCAGTTCATCCTTCAGACTCTAGTCTGGCTAATCTGTGTAAGACTCAAATCTCACCATGTAACGTCCCAACTTTAAATCCTTCACTGACTCCCGTGTCCTACCTTACTGCCTGTCAAGTTTTTGCACTGCCACAGCCCTTCATACCAGGGGACACTGAACTTAGGCCCTACGTGGAGGCCTCAGGAACAGCCTAAATTGACTAGCTACAAGCACAGCATGTCTTTGAAGTCATCTCATGTTTTAGCTTTACAATATATATAATTTGCATTTTACTCAGATCTCCTTTGTTGTTAACATGAAAGTAATGGCATTCCCCCTAAAACTTCAAGTACAATTCATGTCTGAGTTGTGTACTCTAAAAGTCCCTCAGACATACTGCCACACATATCCCGGATTGAGAACCATGAACCTTAAACATAAAGTAAAAAACATTTTATGCTAAAACTTTCTTGGACTGGGCACCATTTTCTTTCCAATATGTTCTGTGGGCACCTGCCACACCATCTTATAGTTTATCTGAATTAGGCTCTTTCTGCTTTTGCATATGTTATCCCTTCCTCATTCATGCTTTTCTCTTTCTCCACTGGGAGAACCCCTACTCAATGCTGTAGACTGAAGCACAGTGACAGTTCCTTTGTGATCACATTCCTCATTTCCTTCTCCTAGGAAATGGGGGTGCTTCCATTGCTGTGCTTTCTTTAGAATTAATATTTACTTCTGATATTCCAGTTAATTCCCTGGCATGAAGACTTTCCCTGTAGCCTGTGCAGTTATTAGAACAGGGTCATATTTTGTTCTCCCTTAGTATAGTACCTGGCATTCAGTAAATGTGGATTATATCAAATAATCTCAAATCCAAATAAAAATGATGATAAATCAACTAAGAGCAATCACCAGCCAGTGCTTAATACCTTTCAGAAATATTGTGGAAGAGTTCTTACCTGGGTGGGAAGTTGCTTTCTAAATGAATATGTGTTCTGGTACTATTCAGCTCTAAAATGACATTATTCTAGTAGTGAATGAGAAAAGTTAAAAATATTTCATCTCCATTAGCACCTCACTGGCAAACTAAAAACCTATATGGAAATTCCTTGACTTATTGAGTAAATGAAAATTTTCTTGTTCTTATCAAAGCTAGATGACCTTTAAATTCATGACATTCTATGACAGTCTATGATATTTTAATGACCTATACAAGTGTTCTAATTTTAAAAATATTCTGTGACTTTTATAATTTTTATGTAAAGTATCAATATTTTTCAATATACTAAAGCTCTTTTTTCCCTTGGGTTCCAGCTTCCTTACGATCAGAACTAAACCATCAACATGCAGCTGCAATTGATTTGTTGCGGCACAGTCATCATCAAGAATTGGCAGCTGCTAAAATGGAATTAGAGCGAAGCATAGACATCAGCAGAAGACAGGTAAAGAAGAACATACTGTTATGCGATGATTCCTCAAATGTGAATAGATCTGAATATTCATATTTTCTGAAAATTTTGTAATAGCTAGTATTTACACTAGTTATTTACTACCTATATTGAAGAGTTTTCTTTTTAAAGGGAAATAAGGTAACTTGACTTATTATATTGATCATAAAATTACATTTTATGACTTTTTAATTGAAGATATTGAATTTTACTTGCATCCTGGAAAGTGATCAGTGAAGTATGAATACCACAAAGAGCAAACACAGAATACTATAAAACAGTACTGCCTGTATCTGCTATCTACCATGATAGTCACTGGCCACATGGGCCAAATATATCTAATGTGTGATCGAGGACCAGAATTTTCAATTTTATTTAATTTTAAATAATTTAAACTTGAATCTAAGTAGTCATGATGAGTAGTATAGCTATAGAAGTAGTAGTTCCTCAAAAAAAAATTGATATTTCCATATCACTGTAGCACAGGTACTATTTGTGCTTTTTAAACTTTTCTCTTTGATAAAGTGTACTTCCTTTACTTAGAGAATTTATGACCTTGAATATACGTCCATCCAGGTGGATGGATTTCTAGGCATAGTGCAATGAAGGCCATTATTTTTTAGACTTATGGCTTTTACTTTGTTAGTCTAAAGGTATGTTAAATGATCAGCTCAGATTTTCTCTTCATTGCTATTAAGTTTTAAATGACCCTCCTCATAACCATGAAGGGAAGTTGTATCTTCAACTATGCTGACACTGAAATTAACAATATCTAGATAGACATCATGAAAAACAGTGAATTCTAGGAATATGAAAGGGAGCTTATCTTTCAGACAAGGTAACTGTTAGATTAGCACAAAGCAGACAAAGTCTGCTTTCTAAGCCATATGATATGTGTGTGTCTGGATGGCCTGCCTAGATGCAGGGCATTTTTAGATTGAAGGATAGTGGTGTCAGCATTTTACTATAAGCCCATTTGATTCTTTTTTTAATTTTTTTTTAAATTTTTTATTTATTTCTAGGAGAGAGAGAGAGAGAGAGCACGCATGAGCAGGGGAGGGTCAGAGAGAGAGAGAGTCACAGACTCTGAAACAGGCTCCAGGCTCTGAGCTGGCAGTCAGCACAGAGCCCGACGTGGGGCTCGAACCCACGAACTGCGAGATCATGACCTGAGCGAAAGTCGGATGCTTAACCGACTAAGCCACCTGGGTGCCCCTAAGCCCATTTGATTTGATGAGGAGCTCTGCATTCTAATCTCAGCTCTGCCTTTCATTATAAATCCTCCTTGGAGAGTTATCTGTTGGGTATTGGTTTCCTCATCTGTACAATGTGTGGGAGATGTGCTTTTTGTGGTCTTTTGGACCTTTTGTTACCCTATATTATCCATATAGACTATATCCATAAACACTTCATATATATATGGAAAGAGAAGAGGCCTTTAGGTTTTATTTCAGCAGTTTGCTTTTGAAGCAATGTCATTACATTTGACATCCCAGTATGTCACTTTCTTTCCTTTAGGTAAGTATGGAAAGCAAATATTAGAATACCTTTAAGAATTATTTGTAGGGGCACTAGCTGGCCCAGTTGGTAGAGCATGTGACTCTTGATCTCAGGGTTGTGAGTTCAAGTTCCAAAGAGAGCTTACTTAAGAAAAAAAATTATTTGTATTTTGCAGAGTAAGGAACATATGTGTAGAATAACAGATCTACAAGAGGAGTTAAGGCACAGAGAGCATCACATCTCAGACTTGGATAAGGAAGTACAGCACCTTCATGAAAATATAAGTGCCCTAACTAAAGAATTGGAATTTAAGGGGAAAGAAATTCTCAGAATACGAAGCGAATCTAACCAGCAGATGAGGTATGTCATTAATCACAACAGACGGAATATACAGTGTTATATGAAAGACTGCTATGATAGTAGTTAGCAATACATGCCTATTTTTATGCCTAGACTACCTTTTCGTAGATATTGAAGACCACTCCTTTATTTGCCGACTGTTGTAATTTAGAACATAGATAAAATGTTAGCATTTTGAATAATATGTACGTATTCATTAATTTTGGAAATTATATAATTAACTAAAATCTTTATAAAATGTAATTTTAAAAGCATTAAAGGAGACAACTTTAACAAGCTAGACTATAGGAGGAGCAAAGTAAGTTACTTTAGGCTGCTTCCATTAATTTTCTCTATATTATACATAAAACCATTTCAAATCTGTAGAATATAGAAAGTTTTGAAAGCTTGATTCCAGAATAACATTTTCTTAACTAAAAATAAAACAGGTTGCATGAACAAGATTTAAACAAGAGACTTGAAAAAGAGCTGGATGTCATGACAGCAGACCACCTCAGAGAGAAAAATATCATGCGGGCAGATTTTAATAAGACTAACGAGCTACTCAAGGAAATAAATGCAGCTTTACAAGTGTCGTAAGTCATATTATATTAAAGAAAATTCATATGTGGGACATAAATTTAGGAGACTGTGTCTAACCTCAGATTAGCCAATATTTTTAAATCTAATTAAGGGATACTTAAAAAAGAAACAAGTGCTATATTACAGATGGTAATTGCAGTATGATATTTTATTTAATGAGGATAAGGCAATAGAATGATTTGTTTCTCAGCTGCCACTGCTCTAGTTCTGCTAGAACAGTCCTTGCCTAAAGCCTGTCCCTCAGGATCTTGAACCATCATGCCATGGTGAAAACTCTAAAGGTGTCCATTATATAATATTAAGTACAAAGGGCATATGGTGGCCAAAAGGAATATGATGATCCTGTACATAAACTAATAATACACACTTTATATACAAATATCAAAAAATCTTTAAAAACAAATAAAACATTGTAATGACAGTACTGCCCTCTAGAGAGTGGATTACAGGGTATTGGGGAAGGGCAAAAACTATAAAATGTGTTATACTCTACAGAGATATTGTTGGAATTCCTACAAACATTTATTTTGATTTTAAAAATTAATGCAAGTTAAACATCACAAATAGTTACTACTCATACAGAGTAACTCCAGTATTAAAACCAAGGTTTCTCATTATGACCTAATGTTTTAAGAAAGTATTTAGTAGCTCTTCTGTTTTCTATACATTTCTAAACTCTTACAGCCAATGTGCAAATAGCATTCACTCCATCTCTGTGGCCTAAACCCTGGTCCAATTTAAATTATCTTAGAATTAATTAATCTACTCTAAACTGCTGCTGCAAATGGTTTATTCACCTTTAATCTGTCTTCCAGTTAATTTAAAACACTGAATAAAAATACGTAAATATCTTCACATCCTTCATTAATGTCAAAATAGTGACTAATCCCATTAACCTTAGTCTCAAAGTGAAACTTAAACTCCTAATGCCATGTGCCTTCTCTGCCTTTGTCCGCCACACTCACAGTGTGAGATTCCTTCTGAGATTCTCCTGTGTTTCCTCTACAGTTTAGAACAACCTCCTATTATTACTACCTGATTACCTTCCCCAAGTCCAAAATATCATCTCCTCACATTTTACTCATTTAACTGATTAAGGCTCATAGTAGCTATTGTTACATATATGTAACATATACAGCTGCATTGACTTCAACTGAAAAAAAACAGACCCCCAGTTGCATTTACTTCAGCAGCTGCTCCTGAGGTGAGATAACTCTGCAATGGACACACACAGGATTTTCTCACTAATAGACACTTGAATGTTTCCTGAATGCATTTTTTGAGGATTGTCTCTAACATTTATCACATCGTGAAGCTACACTTGAAATGGTGAGGAGACTCATGAGACCATTTTCCCACTCATGGTGATTTCTGGTGTTTGCTGGTTTTGGAGGTAATTTTTAAATCCTTTTGAGTTACAGTAAGAGCTCAGGTATCTTCCATGTGGAAGAGCTCATCCATCACTTTAGGCACTTTGCAAAAATTAGTTACAATAAACCCCACTCATGGCTTTGCCTTCTCCTGGCCTCAGTGTTACTCATTGGGCAGAGGCTGAAATCCTGCTATCCCTCTCTTCACAGTCTGAAAAAACATGCTCACAAAAAGAATAACCAGTGTCTGTCCGTGTGTCGTGTCTCTTTAGGAATGTTAACTTACAAAGATTAAAGGTTTTTTCTACTTTATTCTGTTTTATATGATTTTACACATTAGGAATTTTCAGTGGATAGTATATAACTTAGTTTTGCTAATTATGGTAATTTTTAATCGAATTAGTATTATTCATGAGTCAAATATTTTATTTGTTTTCTAGATCTACCAGTTTTTTATACTTCAGCCAGGCCCATGTTAACCAATTGTATTTCTTTTTTCTATCAGAAAATTGCTGCTGTCATATATTTGGTCATTTACTCTTTTAGTTGAAAACACATACACAAATGTATTTAGACCGATGTCCAGTAGATTTTTCTGTGATAACAAAAATGCCCTTTATCTGCTCTGCCCAGTACAGTTGTTACTAGCCACAAAGGCTGTTGAGCATTTGAATTATGGCTAGTGCAACCAAGGAATTGAATTTTTAATTTAATTTTAATTAATTTAAATGTAAATAGCCACTTACAGAATACTGGCTACCATATTTGGAAAGCAGTTTTTTGTTTGTTTTTGTTTTTTTGAGAGAGAGACAGAGTGCAAGCAGGGGAGGGATAGAGAGAGAGACATACACAGAATCTGAAGCAGGCTACAGGCTCTGAGTGGTCAGCACAGAGCCTGCTGCAGAGCTCAAACCCACAACCTGCAAGATCATGACCCAAGCTGAAGTCAGATGCTTAACCAACTGAACCGCCCAGGCGGCCCTGCAAAGCACAGTTTTAGACAATTGGGATATTTCTGTCCATATCCTTATTGCAGCCTGCTTGGATCTGCTGAATGCCTTCAGCAGTCTTGGTGAGCAGGGAGACTGCATTCCAGGTTAAAGAGCTGGGGGGACAACATTTGAACTATTCTTAGCCTGTTGCAAAGGACGATGGGCATCTTACTAAAGTTCCTAATCAACTGCATGCTGACTTTAAGTCTTTGAAATTGGAAAAACCCTTTGGAAATGTAGAAGTGGGTGGTAGTGGAAGGGCTGGAGGAAAGTGGGTCAGGCCTGAAGCCCGGAGTGGAAGGGCCTCTGGAGCAGCTGGAAGCTTCTTCCGTTCCTCCCAAACCCTGTTTGGACTCTAGTGAAGAGATTAGAAATTTAAAGAATGGAGAGTACCTTCTAAACATTGTAGAAATGGTGATGAGTTCTGTAGTTCTTACGGAATGATTACTAGAAAACCCCTTCTCTAGTGCTGGGTACTCAAGTCTTAGATTTTCAGATATTCTTTGGAAACTGTTTTATTTTCCTGAGTGCTACAGTAATAAAACCCTTCCATCACAGTTTTTGTTTGTTTTAGAAACAGTGAGAGAATGGCTGTTTTGAAGAACTTTAAGCCAGATCTAAACCTATATAGAACTTGGGGCCACGACATCTTTCTTGTGCAAAACGGGGAGTTCAGAGATTATTATTGATTGTCTAGGTTTACATTAACTTCTCACTGTACTGAGACAAAAAATAGTTTCTTCTTGGGGGAAGCATTGAGTTTTCTGTATGTGGCTTTTAGGTAGGTAAGTAATCCCTAATTGAAAAAACACTCCACCATATCAGAATTACCACTCACTCTTTAAAAGCTGTTGATAAAAGAGTCCTTTTATCTATAATACCCTAATTGTTGTTGTTGTTTGATTTTTAAATTACCATTCAAGTTGTGTTCATAAATTTTGTGAGGTAAGGAGAAAGTAGTTTTATTTTCATGCATTAGAGCCTGTGCCCATAAATTATGGGGAAAGAAAGGTTCAACACTAAATTTCTTCAGTTACTGTATTTCCTTTCCTTAAACTGTAGCAAAGGATGGTATAACAGAGTTTATTTTTATATAATTAAGATTCTAAAATATATGTGTGCCAATAGTGTTGTTTGGCCTAAAATCTCAATTTACTGACTTTGTCAATTATTTTTAAAAAGCATAGGAGTACTGCCACCTTGAAAAGTTTTTTTATATGTTTTATACAGTTTTTTTATGTATTCATATTTTTGGTTTGTGTTGGTCACAAACCCTAGACATTGACCTATATACTCTCATAGCCAAAAAAATCAGGGCATGTATGCCTGGGGAGAAGCCAACAATGACCTAATTAGAAATTATGTGTTTTACTTCTTTTTTCTCTCTGTATTACTTTTAATGGGAATCTGTATTTTGAGTAAAAGACTATATAAACTTGTACATTTCCTTAAGGCAGTGTTTCCTAGGCTTTGTTAACCTTTCAGAATTTGGTCATTTCTGGCTACTTTGATATGGTTTTCATATTTTTAATTGACTCATTATAACTTTATTTCTGCAGCAAAACCATTATCATTATTGAAAAATCTTATCCATTTTTTAAATAGAAGCTAGGCTAGGGGCGTTTGGGTGGCTCAGTTGGTCAAGCATCCTCACCATTCTCATGGGTTCATGAGTTTGAGCTCCGCGTTGGCCACCATGCTGACAGTGCAGAGCTTGAGATTCTGTCTCTCTGCCCCTCCCCCACTCATGCTCTCTCAAAATAAATAAACTTTAAAAATAAATAAAAGCTAGGCTATAATTATACAAATATAAATTCTGTGAAAATAAAACAATGTTATTAGATTCTAGCTAGGTATTTGATGCTGCAGGCCTGCCCATGTGGTGTGAAATAGGGTAAGAGGCATATGTTATAAAGGCCATTTAAGATACATAGAACCAAACTGAGACCTTTTTCCCTCTTATGCCCAGAAAGATTAAAGAAGAATAAACTAAGATCATTTCCTGTACCACCAGTGGTTCACACTTAGTCTTTAGGAAGCAGTGCTGGCCTAGAGTTCACAGGGACAACTGAAGAAAGAGATTGTTGACCACCATTGGCTTGAAATGGATCAGAGTAATACTGAGGGGTTCTTCCTATTACAATTTTGAAAGACTTAGTAATTCTGGAAATATATTTGCAAGTTAAATCTAGGTCATTTTACTTGTTCTCTCCTTTAATGCTTTCCCATTTGTATTTATATGAATGGTTTCTTCAATCTAATCAATTATTTTTTCCCTTTAATATCCAGGTATCTCTTGAAAGGTTTTTTTGGTGTATGTGTGATACAAACTTATTTTGTGGAGAGGATTAATTGATAATAATTTTGTAGGTAAAACATGCCTAACCTAAATGAAAACAATTACTAGAATTGAGGCTCAGAGCAAAAAAGGTGGGTCAGGGATTGTAAGTGATTTAAACTCACTTTTCCTTAACTTCTCATTGTACTAAAACAAAACGATAGACATAATAGTTTTATTTTTTAAATTTTGTTCTGTTTTGTTTTTCTGGGGTTTTTTTTCATAACAGCTTTAAATAAGGCATTAAGTTGAGTTTTTTAGCAACCATTTACTGCCAGATATTCTTGGTTAGGTGCAGGAAGCAGTTCAGAAATCTTCTATTTTGTGTTTAATCATAAAGTACTACAGTGACATCTTGTGGCTACTCCAATATTAAATCCAGTGCCTTTTTCCTTTACTAGATTATTGTTTCTCAAGCTTCTTAAAACTGTTGCCCTTAAAACACTGTATCATGATAAAATGCAAGGTCCCTTTATGTGAGCCCAGTGAATCACATCTTTCACTCAGTCTGCATTATCACAAGAGAACAAAAGTAAAGACTGAATCCAACCTCAAACTGAACTGACAAGGACAAGCTGATTCTGACTGAGGCTGTCACTTCCTAACCCCACACTTCCCTTCACCCACACACCTCCCTCTAGATTAAAACTGTAGCTTATGACCAAGTCATAAAGAAACTAATTTAGCTTGGGCTGAGTTAGTGGAGGAGTTTACTAAAATTCCTAAAATACACAGATTCTTGTACCCCTCTAGAATTGGGGGGAGGGAGTAGATCACGGAGTCCTAGAAGACAGATTGTCTAGAAGTTATTCAGTATTTATTGAGTAAGATTTTCTGTGCATCTTCATTCACCATGACTTTATTGAGCTTAAGTTCTATCATTTTATTTTGCAAGCAGTAAATTGTTCCAATTAAATTTTCTAAAATTGAAACACGCCCCCAACTAAGCCAGCGGTTTCCATTTGCATCCTCTTCATTCTGCCCTGTCCTATATTTTCGGATTCTGCATGGTCTGTGGAGCCTCTGCTCATAAAAGGTGGCCTCTATCCTAGAGTCTTCGGTGGCATTCAGTCCTGTTGCCTTCTTGTCCCACTCAGGGTGGAAAAGGGGAAAAACTAGGTTATCTGATGTACCTTTTTTACAGAGTAATGTATTATCTGGTAATACAGAATTTTTAAATTGTGTTTCCCATAAACTGGAAAAGAATGATGTTATTTATGTGTCCTTTGTTTCCCTTTCCTCTGTATCTTTTCTGTGTGTTACCCTTCCTCTGTATCTTTTCTTGTCCCTTTTCTATGAGTTACCAATCCTTCCATCATCACACCAGAGTGTAATTTTGGTAAGTTCTCCTGATTGTCAGCCTACAATTCTAGCATCAAACCTGTATTTAGAGGTATTATTCAATGTATCATTTCTTCTACAGAACTTACCTCATCTCATCCCCCACCCTGTTGAATGACTTACAATGAGTGGATTCTTCCAAAAGTAACCTGCAAAGTCTTAAATAAACATCATCTACCCTGTAGAGCCTTTAATAACACTATAGCTATTGAGGCAACCATGTTATTATGCTGAAAAGTTTTACGGAAAAAAGTTTGGTTTTAAATTTTGTATGTGTTCAGCTGGACTAATTTGAAAACTGTAGGCATTAAAAAGGATGCGTCTGAATCCTATCAATGAACTAATGGTTTCTTGTTTCCAGACTAGAAGAAATGGAAGAAAAATATCTAATGAGAGAATCAAAACCAGAAGATATACAGATGATTACAGAATTAAAAGCCATGCTTACAGAAAGAGACCAAGTCATAAAGAAACTAATTGTAAGATTTGCAGGGGGGGGGAGAGGAAGGGGGGTATGGAGAGGGGTGTAACCATGTTAGTAATCAATAGACTGTGGATTGGCAAAACATGGAAAAGTATTAACTAATGCTAAGTGCAAATTGAAAGTCTAAAATATGCTCATTGTGACTGAAAGTTTATTAGAATGTTCATGAATTAGCATAAGAAATACAAAGTAATTTTAAATTTGTTATTAGGGTAAGGGGATTGTGCTTCTTTTCAGTACTTTTTTAAAAGAGTCTTTTTTTAGTACATATGTTTAAATAATGTGTCATTGCCAATGTACAGTTAATATATTATTGAAGTTGTATATAACATATAGTTAATATACTATGTGAACAATATACATATTGTTCATGTAGAATAACAATTGGATAGGAATAAACTATTTGTAAAAAAAAAAAAAAAAAAGAATTGGATAGGAAAGAAGAGTCAACACATGCAGGCATAATCCTGCACTGTATACTTCCAGCTAGTCATTTTAATTTACCCTGATCCAAAGAGATACTCCATGGAAAAAGGATTCCATTTTCTTAAGGTTCTAACCAAGAAAGGCTACAGGCGCTCTCTTGAAAGTCTCGGTCCAAACTGAGGTGTTAGGGTCTCTGACCAGTCCATCAGGGAAGAAAGCACAGATTTAACAATAAATAGACTGCCTTCATTGAAGCTATTATTCTTCAAGAATAAGAAATACACAAATGTTGCATAATTCATGAAACATTTTAGAGTCTGCTGATCAATAATTATTGTTTTTTACAGTCACTAAAAAAAAAAATCTTTCAGAGTAAAACTAAAAATAGAATGCTAATCACTCTATTGGCTCACTGATCTCTTCAACTGAAAACTATGGACATTAGCATGAAAAGAGAGCCTAGAAGCATATAATTCTAAAGTCCATTTTCTTTAACTTATCAGTGTTAGCATCTAGGAAAGCTGCCCTGTTGGCTAGGACTAAAAGTTCCTGCCAAAAGCAGCACCTCATGGACCGGGGCTCATTATAGACCCAGGAGCAGACATTGGCAAGATTTCCCAGGTATTGCGAACATGAGCACAGCCTTCATAGATTGCTTTGATTACCTTACATTCCACACATGAAGTTATTAGCAAATGTATGAAGTGTATTTCATCCATGATAGAAATACTTTTTCCAGTTCTTAGTGAGCATGTCACAGAAATAGTTGTATTTTATCTTCACAAAAGGATAGGTATTAGACCTCAAAGAATAAAACAAACACAAAGCAACACCTGGTTGGCAACAGGCTAGGAATCCAGCTAAGGGTTGTTCTACACTCTTTACACTATACACCGTGATTCTGTGGACTCTGAAGCTCATGGGCTGAGATTAATGATACAAATGTAGTGGTAACAAGGGAATGAAAAATCTAGTTCTACTAGCTCACAGTCCTGCATTTATACTCATGTGTTTACTTCCTAAAGTTTGGTTGTTCGGTTGGCATATACTGGTCAAGCAAAAGGCAAAGGATTTATTTATATGTAGGACACTTTTTCTCTGGTCAATGATTACCACTTCTGTAATACAGATGACCCTTGAATAATGCAGGGGTTAGCGACACTAAATCCTTGCACAGTTGAAAATCCACATATAACTTGATTCCCCCAAAGCTGAAGTACTAATAAACTACTGTTGGCTGGAAGCCTTACTGATATCAAAGTCAGTTAACACTTACTTTGTATATGTATTATTACCTTATTCTTAAAGTAAGCCTGAGAGAAAAATGTTACTATGAAAATCATAATGAAAATATATTTATAGTACTGTACTGTATTTATCAAAAAAATCAATGTGTAAGTAGACCCACACAGTTCAAAGCTGTATTATTCAAAAGTCAACTGAACACTGAGGTTTCAGAGAGGAGATTAGGCAAGATCAAATGTATTTGTAGTACTGAAGAATAATGATATAACAGTGTCACCTTTATAGAAACAACAAAACCATGCACACAACTCCATGAATGTAAGTTAAGCCTATTCAAACTGCACAACCTGCTGTTTGGAATAGAGATGGGACCAAAGAAAATATTTTGATCCAGTCTTGAAAGGAAAACGTCACTAAAGGGTAGAGAAGAGTCTCAAAGCATAGGGTATTGAAAGGTTTTGATTACCATCCCACCAGCAGTCTTTAATATACTGGCAGTCAGATTTAGAAATCTTTTGGGCTCCTGGCTAGCTCCATCAGTTAAGTGTCCAACTTTGGCTTGGGTCACAATCTCCTGGTTCGTGAGTTTGAGCCCCATGTGGGGTTCTGTGCTGACAGCTCAGAGCCTGGATCCTGCTTCAGATTCTGTGTCTCCCTCACTCTCTGCCCCTTCCCTGCTCACACTCTCTCTCTCAAAAACAAATAAACATTAAAAAAATTTTTTTAAATCTTTGATGAACAAGGTATATAAATCTTCAGGTTTTATATTAAATTTTGAATGAAATGGCATTATACATTACAGTTTTAAATTTTCAATAGAAAATGTCTAAGTGACGTTTATAATTCTTTTGCATAGGAGGATAATAAATTTTATCAGCTGGAATTAGTCAATCGAGAAACTAACTTCAACAAAATGTTTAACTCAAGCCCCTCTGTTGGTGTTATTAATCCATTGACTAAGGTATGTGCTGTAAACACTATAAAATAGGGATGTAGTTTAAAACTTGCTTTAAAATTTTAATATTTAGAGAAGCATGGGATAAAGCTTCCAAAGAATGTTTTAAATTTAATATTTAGGACTAAAAATCTATGAATTCTTTATGTATACATTTTCACTGAATGAGACTAATATTTTTGTTGAGAATTCATACTCCTTCAAACATTTTATTAATATCATAAAACCTTGGTTTCTACCATTTTGTTTTTCACATTTCCAAAGAAAGCTAATTTCTGAGTCTCCTCAAGATAATTTTTTGTCATCTTCTTGGTGTTCACTATTCTCTGTGGGATCCTAAAGGTACTCCAGCCCTGTATACCCAACAGCTCTCCCTAATGTAAAGCCTAAGGCCCGCCATCTTAATGGACCTGTCATTGACATGTATTTTGTTGCCTACCAGTCTTTGGAAAAAGGCTTTACTTCTCTCAGTCTTAGAACCTCTCATGACAATGAAAATTGAAGATGGTCCATTTTGATCTTTGTCACTCTCTTAGGACACATAGAAGAGCCTTGTAGAAAAATGAGATGGACATGGCTAAGTCTTACACATCTTTGTACCCCAGCTTCCTATGGCTCCCCTCATAGTGCTTTGGGTATAGTTGATATTCAGTAAATATTTGTTCAGTTGCAAATTTCATCACATATTCGATAAGCTACCACAGGTAAGTGAATAAAGCAAATAAGAATAAATAATAACGTATATTGGCTTCACAAGAACTTACATATCTTTTGGCAGAAATCATTAGTAAAAATAAAGTACTAGTGCTAAAGCTATCTTTTGATTCAGATTCAATTAATTTCCCATCATGCCTAATTTCTATTAGGTCCTCAGCCAGAAACTTTTGCTTTCAAAGCTCATAAAAACTTCTCTGTTAAGAAGATGGAACTCTATTCTTCCTTCACAAGTTAAAGTGCTCCAGACTTTAAACTTAAGCCTTTCACATAGAGCAACTTACATGTTTTATGAAACAGAATGACTAAAGTAAGGAGGCCTATAGCTGTATCTTCAGAGCCTAAAGTACTGCCTAACACATTGAAGCCTCCCAATAAATAATTGGTGAATGAATTAATATAGTTAGTTTCAGTTTTTACGTCCTTAATTTGGGGTGAAATAAGCTTTTAATTAGACAGCAAGATTATGAGACTTGTTGATAAATAATAAAAAGGAAAATATTTCTAATATATTTTTTGGGATTACAGTTTTAGCTACAAAATTATTACTGTAAAACTTTATAATAATACCAATAATATTTTTATTTCTTCAAATAGATACCTTAAATGGTTTATGTCCTCTGGTGCCCAGAACAAGAAAATCCACAAGATATAGCTTTGTTAACTTTTGAATGACTTCACCTTTCACTAATATTGTGATTCTAGAAGACATTCGTTTTTCTTTCTTCAGTTATGCTAAAGACTCTTTGTCAGAGACTCCGTGACTCACAGACTATGACAAAGGGCAATGTGTAGAGAGTGAGATCATTACTTTGTAAATAAAGGAAAAAGGCCAATTAGACTGTACTCCAATCATTTTGCAGAAAAATGTTTTATAAATTTAGCACACATTTAACTAGCAAAAGATGGGAATATTAACAGTATCATGCAACATGTGAATTTTTATCCTACACAGCAAGATGCTCATTGATTCTAGAGGTATGAATAAAATGGAAACTTAATGATTTGTAAGCTGACAGATTTTTATAATCTGTGATTAAAATTAACAGATAGGAGGAATGTAAAGACCAACTAAAAAAATTTTTTTAAAAGATGGATCACTTTTGTTTTATGATCTTTAAATGTTTTTAAACAATTATGAGCCAGTTAGTGATACTGTCAATTGGGAAATGAGATTTAACTATGCAGACTTAAGTCAGGTTTAGGACTTACATAGGAATGTGGAATATGTTTCAAGCTACTTTGCCAAGCATTTTTTCACTTCCTCTTTTTTCCAGGCAAGGACTGCCTCCCTTTGACAGAAGGCTAAAGTTCATGGACCTCTCTTTTAAAATTGTTTAACTTTATACCTTCTTCTCCTCATTTTAGCCCAAATCCATTTAACCTTGTGGTATATGCAAGACCTGCTCCTGCCCCATTTCCTCTCAGTATTCTTTACCCTTTGGCGTTCTTTCCATCTCCTCCCCTCCCCATGAACACCAGTCCTCATTCTTTCTGGCCCAGCAGCATGTCTGTCTGTGAGGATTCCATGTAGATAAAGAACACCTCCAAGGATCCCCAGACCACACTTTGGGTAACACTGGTTCATTTTAATATCCCAATTTAACATGAAGCTTCCAAAATTTTTCCATACCAAATTTATATCTTCTACTATTCCTATTTTCTCATTTGTCCTTACACAGGGACTATCCTCACTTGTATTATTTTTAATGCAGCAAAAGAAGAAGAATGATAAACCACCAACAAACAGGTTTGTGAGTGTTCCCAATCTAAGTGCTCTGGAATCTGGTGGAGTGGGCAATGGACATCCTAACCGCCTGGCTCCCATTCCTAATTCTCCAGTCCACGATACTGAGTTCAACAGCAGCAAACCACTTCCACAGCCAGTGCCACCTAAAGAGCCCAAGACATTTTTGAGGTGAGCCCGTCTCACCAATGATTTTTTTCTTTTCTTTTTTAACTTGAGAAATTTACCTTCTTACACTGCAGAATTCACTACTTTAAGAACAGCCTAGGGAAAAAAAATATTACTGTGAAATCTTTTCAAAATATATTGATCACTTCTCTAGAGAACTCCTTTTTGGCTCTTAAGATTCTTTTTTTAATTTCTTGTCAATTTTTCTATATACTGAAAGTGCTAATTCATATGCTTAGAATTTTAATATTTATGGCTAGTTGCTTCATTTTGAGTATTGTAGCCAATTTTTCACTAATTATCTTTATTAAAGAACTTTAAATTATTTTGTATTTCTGTTATATTTTTTCACTTTCTTGTTTACCAGGCTTATTTACAAATATATATGCTTACTGCCAAAATAAAAATATATAAACTCTGGGAACTTAATGATCTATGTACGTAAGCATAAAATAAATTAAAAAATTTTACCATGGACATTCCAATTTTTAAGTTAATCTCATACTTGATTAAATATATTCACAAGGAGAATTTGAATGAAATCCAATTGTTTATCCATTAAATAAAGTCAGAAAGTATTGTGTTTTTTTTATGTTTACCTTACTATTATTGATTCTGTGCTGCTTTAAATTTACTTTCTATAAATTATTCCTACTCAATCTCAGCAGTGTCACTAGTAATAACCTTACAGGTAGACTGTCTTTTTCTAGGGTAAGTGATGACATAGATAATGACCAGTTATTTTAAAGAGAAAAAAATAGCAAGAATGAAAAATAGTCAAATACGTTTTTGAATGTGTCTCCTGCTAAATATTTTGTGTTGCTTATTTTCCCTTGTGCATGGGTATGTTCAGGTATCAGTAAGATGCATGTGCATGAGCTCAAGGAACATGACTACTGGAGTTTCCATTACACATTGTTGCGTGCTTGTAATTTCCCCCAAAGACGGTAGGGATTCTTTTATTTTCTCAACTAGCCCAAAGAATCTTTAGTTAGAATTAAGTATAAATTTTAACTTTAAAGATGGAGGGGAAATTGGCTTCTGAATGGTGCTCCTTTCCCCCCTACAGTATTTGATTATGGAATTATGAAATTCAACATGAATATACATGTAGTAAAAATACTATACCAAGGTTTAGTTACTTTAGTTATATTTGCGAACACATCTGTAAAAACCAAATGCTTGTGTCGGATCTCTGAAATTTTAATTAACTAGAAGAAAAGGTGCTGAAAAAGAGGAATGTTATTCTTATTTCTGACAATTCCTCCTGAATTTTCTTTATTCGAAGAAGGTGACATTATTTTTCTCAACTGTCTGGATTGGGGGGGGGTAATTTTTTTTGTAATTGTTTTGATGTGGCTCCTCCTTAACTGACTTCATCTGAGCTGCTGATGCACTCTCACACTCTCATGGAGAGGAGAACCCAATCTAGTGCAGTGGGGTCTACAAAATACATCTAACACAGGAAACCACTGTGGTCATCTACACTTATGTTTTTTTTGTGCTTTTCCCTTTGTTTTGCAAAACAGCTTAATGCTGGGTTACATGTCTCTCTCTCTCTCTCTCCTTCTTTTTTTTATTTTTTTATGAATTCAGTCCTCCTCAGAGTGAAGCTTCCCCGGTGGCTTCTCCCGATCCCCAGCGCCAGGAGTGGTTTGCCCGGTACTTCACGTTCTGAAAAAGTTGTATTGGCAACAGCTCTGTGTGGACTGTTCCTAAGAGCATGACCTTATACAGACCATTATGTGAACAGGCTTTCCTATGTCAAACACTGTGAATGAAAAAGTATTTGTCTCTCCAATTTTAAAATACACTATTTCCTGTGATATTTATTAGAATCACTCTATTATGTGTGTAATTATAACAGTTATTTTTGAGATGGAAGAGTCTTTAACCTTTGTAATTAATGCATAATAAATTTTGTTAGAACAAAAGTGCTTTTCATTTTTTTCTAGTAAGTTTGAGTTTTTAAATATTTTTTAATTCTAGGTAAGACTTAACCCAAAATGTTTCCTAAAAAAATTTTTACTGCATAATAATGAAATATCAAATTATTTGACTTCAATAATCATAAAAAAAGCAGGATGGGTAAATAAAATCTACTGATTTGTTCCATTACAATATATAACTATAACTAAACCATGTCCTCAAAATTTACAAGACTATAATGAAAACACTTGTGGAAATTGTAGATCTTCAACTATAGAAAATACTGCTGACTTATAGTGTATTTTACTATTCTGATAGTTGAGGATCTAGAACTTCTAGTACACTTAGTATCTATGATTAATATTTATGGCCACACGCAATTTGGTAGAGACAGTTCTATCTTAATTTGTCTTAGAAATTGGTTTGTTACTAACACATAGACTCAACTACTACTCAACAACTGGCGTGCCACATTTAGTTGATTGAGCAATATAGATTTTAGAAAAATCTGGGTGAACAAAACAAATACAAATACCTGGTCTATGAATGATTGTAACAACAACAAAGGCCAATTTTCTAAATGGCTATTGTGTGTCAGACACTGTACTCAGGGGCAATAGAAAGACTGTGCTATTTAATTTTCACCAAATCTTCAAGGAACAAGCCACGGCATATGAGTTTGTGCAGTTGGCATATTCTTTTAAGTTATCCTGGAAAAAAAGTTTATATAAAATACTTGCTCTGAATTTTTTCTTCAACTGAAATTGAATTCAATGAATTTTCTACGAAAAATGGTTGATACTTATTTCAGAAAACAAATCTAGTTATATCCAAATTAGGGATAGGAATGTGTGTTTATATCTAATATTTGGGGATTATTTACCAAGGATTTGATGATTAGTACTCACGCAGCTGACTGTGCTAGCCACAGACATACAGAGATGATGAACATCTGTTCTCAAGGAGCTAACCACAAACTTTTTCTTTTTTAAGCAATCTCATAATGCACACAAATAAGATTTATGGAGTATACCATGAGAACAGAGAGAAGGAAGTGATTGATTCTATCTAAATGGTGACAGGGAAAGCTTGACATGGAAATGGTACCCAACTGTAATATTGAAAGATGAGTAAGAACCAGATCAAGGACAGGACTGTTTCACACACAAACTAGAACAAGTGTCAAGAAAGAACAGGACAGCTACATCCAGAGAATTAAGTTCAATCCTATGGGTCCAATATGTAAGAGCTAGAGAACATGGAATAAGAGAGCAACCGCTCCTTGAGCATCTAGCCTTTTATTAGAATTAAATATTTTTGATTAACTCAAATGAAAAACACAAGCATACAACTAGTAAAGGTTAAAACCTGTGCTCTTTACATTATGCTATAAAGGGCCTGAAATGCTTAGTAAGGAATTCAACTTGATCCTCTAGAATTTTGAGCATGTAATAAATTGCATGATCAGATTCAGAATTTTTAAATTACCTCACTGGCTGAAAAAAAAGACCTACTTATCTGTTGCCTACAAGAGACTCCTATTATACCTAAAAACACAAACAATGAAAGCGAAAGGATGGAAAAAGATATTCCATACAAATGCAAACAAACAAAAAAAAAAGAGTAGGAATACATATATCACTTGATTTTAGCCAAAAGGCCAAAGAGTGATAGCAATGCATATATCAAACAATAGACTTTAAAACTACATCTGTAACAAGAGATAAAGACATTACATAATAAAGGAATCAATCCAACAAAACTTAAAATAATTGTAAATATCTAAGCACCCAACATTGGAGCCCTTAAACCATAAAGCAAGTAGTAACAGACATAAAGGGAAAACTTGATAGTATAGCATGAGAATTTAACACCCCATTTATGTCAATGGATATATCATCCAGGGTGAAAATCAATATGGAAACAATGTCTTTAAATGACACATTAGATCAGATAGATTCAACAGATATATACAGTACATTCCATCCCAAAACATCAGAAGACACATTCTTTTCAAGTGCACATGGAACATTCTCTAGGACAGCTAACATGTTAGGCCACAAAACAAATCTCAATAAGATTAGAACCATATCATGCATCTCTTCTGGCCACAACAGTATGGAACTAGTAATCACAAGGAAAAAAAATAGAAAAAAACACAAACACATGGATGCTAAATAACATGCTACTAAACAACTAATGGCTTGACAAAGAAACAAAAGACAAGATTAAAAAATACATGGAGACAAATTAAAATAAAAATACAATGGTCCAAAATCTTTAGGATGTATCAAAAGCAGTTCCAAGAGGGAAATTTAGAGCCATACAGGCTTAACTGAAGAAACAAACAAAAATCTCAGGGTGCCTGGGTGGCATAGTCAGTTAAGCATCTGACTTTGGCTCATGTCATAATCTCACAGTTTGTGAGTTCAAGCCTTGCATCAGGCTCTGCTGACAGCTCGGCTCCTGGAGCCTGCTTCGAATTATGTGTCTTTCTCTGGTCCTCCCCGACTTGTGCTTGGTCTCTCAAAAATAAATGTAAAAAAAAAAGTCTCAATCTCACCTTACACCTAAAAGAACTAGAAAAAGAAGAACAAAGGCAAAGGTTAATAGAAGGAAGGAAATAATAAAAATCACAGTAGAAATAAATGAAATACACACATACACACACACACGAGACCAATTGAAACCAAAATTATAACCCTTTAGCCACATTCATCTAGAAAAAAGAAGACCCAAATAAATCCAGTAAAAAAAAAAAAAAAAAAAAGAACTGACACTACAGAAATACAAAGGACTGTGAGAAAATAATGTGAAAAATTCTTTGCTGACAAATTGGATAACCTAGAAGAAATGGATTAATTCTAGAAACATATAACCTTTCAAACCTGAGCTAGAAAAAGAAAATTGAACATAAAACCTTTCAAAACTGTAACAGAAAAAGAAACAGACCAATTACTAGTAACAAAACTGACTCAGTAATCAAAAATTCCCAACAAATATCCAGCATTAGCTTCACAAGTGAATTCTAACAAACATTTAAAGAAGAGTTAATACCTATTCTCCTCAAACTATTCCAAAGAAAAGTAGAAACGGAAGCAAAGATTCCAAATGCATTCTATAAGGCTAGCATTACCTAGATACCAAAACTATATAAAGATATGACAAAGAAAAGAAAACTATAGGGCAATATCTCGGATTAACACAGATGCAAAATCCTCAACAAAATATGACCAAGCCAAATTCAACAAGACATTTAAGAAAAATCATACACCATAATTAAGTGGGATTTATTCCAAGAATGCAAGGGTAGTTCAACCTAGCAAATCAATCAACATGATATATCACATTAAAACAAAGGATAAAACTCATGTCATCAATAGGTACAGAAAAAGCATTTGACAAAGTATAACATCCATTCATGACAAAATCTCTCAACAAAGTAGGTTTAGAGGGAACATACCTTAACATAATAAAGGCCATATATGAAAAACCCACAGTTAACCTCATACTGAATGATGAAAAACAGAGATTTTTCCCTAAGGTCAGGAACAAGACAAGGATGTCCATTCTCACCACTTTTATTCAATATAATATTGGAAATCATACCCACAGCAATCAAACAAGAAATAAAAATGTATCCAAATGATAAGGAAGAAATAAAACTATTTGCATAGAAAACCCTAAAGACAGCACCAAAAAACTTAGAGTAATTGAGCTCAGCAAACTTGTAGGATACAAAATCAATACAAAGAAGTCAGTTGTATTTCTATGCACTAATAAGCAGCAGAAACAGAAATTAAGAAAACAATCCCATTTATAATAGCACCAAAAAGAATAAAATAGGGGTGCCTGGCTGGCTCAGTTGGTAGAGTATGTGACTCTTGATCTTGGGATTGTGGGCTTGAACCCCACATTCAATGTAGAGATTATTTAAAAATAAAATCTTTAAAAGAATACAAAAACACCTTGGAATAAACTTAACCAAGAAGGTTAGAAAGAACTCTGAAAACTAAAACATTGAGGAAAGAAGTTGAAAATGACAAAAACAAATGGAAAGATATTCCATGCTCATAAATTAGAAGAATATTGTTTAGGGGTGCCTAGGTGGCTCAGTTGGTTAAGGATCTGACTTCAGCTCAGGTCACGATCTCATGGTTTGTGAGCTCAAGCACCACATGGGGCTCTGTGCTGACAGACCAGAGCCTGGAGCCTGCTTCAGATTCATAGTCATTAGAAAAGTCAAGTCAAAACCACAATGAGATAACACTTCATAGCCATTAAGATGGCTTTATTTTTAAAGGGGGGCGGGGAGGGCCACAAACAAATGGGAAGATATTCCATGTTCATGGATTGGAAGAACAAAGATTGTTAAAATGTACATACTATTCAAAGGCAGCTACAGATTTAATACAATTCCTATCAAAATACCAACAGCATTCTTCACAGAACTAGAATAATCCTACAATTTGTATGGAATCACAAAAGACTCTGAATAGCCGAAGCAATCTTGAAAAAGAAAAATAAAGCTGGAAGTATCACAATTCTAGATTTCAAGTCACACAACAAAGCTGTAGCAGTCAAAACAGTACAGTACTGGCACAAAAATAGACACATAGATCAATGGCATAGAATTGATAACTCAGAAATAAACCCAAGAGCACAAGAGAGTACAAGCAGTAATTTCTGACATCAGTTGTAACATTTTTCCAGATATGTCTCCTGAGGCAAAAGAAACAAAAGCAAAATAAACTACTGAGACTACATCAAAATAAAAAGCTTCTGCATAGCAAAACAAACAACAAAAATAAAAGGCAAACTGCTGAATGGAAAAAAGGTATTTGAAAATGACATATCCAATAAAGGGTTAGCATCCAATATATATAAAGAACTTACTTATACAGCTCAACACACACACACACACACACGCTCATGCAAACAAATAATCCCATTAAAAAAAAGAGCAAAAGCATGAAAAGACATTTCTCCAAAGAAGGCACTCAGA